GGTCAGCAGCGCCGACAGGCTGTCGCAAGGCGTGATAGCATGGCCGCAAGTACCGCGATTCCCATGAGAAAACAAGTAAAAAATCGCGCAAAAAAAGTCCTCGGCGCCTGCGGCGGTCCAGAAGCACAAGGAACGCTTCTTCCCGCCCGACTGGACGCCAACGGCTGCCGAGGAAAGCCGAGCGCCGGGAACAGCGGCGCGGTTCGGCCACCGCGTGACGCGAGCAGCGACTCGCTCTCGGTTCAGGTCGAAGGGCGGCACCTCAAACTCGCCTCGCGAGCTCTTCGGCACCCGCCTCGTGGAGCTGCTCGAGGAGTACGTCGGGGATATAGTTGCGCGCAAGCTCGAGCGCAGGAGTCGCGCTCGCCCGGCAGATGAGGGTTAATCGGGCTTCGGAGACGACCGCCATCGAGGCTGACCGCCATCGAACAGCGCACCGCACAAGGCGCGCAACACGCATCGTTTTTGTCATCACATGAAATGCACGCATTCTCTGCCAGATTTTGTCGCACGCGCTCACACGGTCAGGTGTCGTGGTAGCTCATTTTTTGTACAGTCGAATACAGGCGACGGGAGGAACCGCAACCGGCGGAGGATGCAGTGACGTGAGACACACACACACACACACACACACACACACACACACACACACACACACACACACACACACACACACACACACACACACACACACACACACACACACACACACACCGCTCACCCACGCGCACTGGGCCTTGCACTTTGAATGCCGTGGGGCTCCTGTCGTCAGACGTGGAGACGCGAGGGTTGCCCCCCCTTGCCCCACCACCTCGTGTGTGTGGAGAAGTTTACCTTACCTTACCTTACAGTCGAAATTTCCGACGGCGGCATGTCGCTACCGCCTGCCAGCGAACTCGACAAAAACCGTCGCAGTTGCACAACTGCGACGGCCGAGGAGGCGGAGTAAGTGGACACGCCCAAAGCGGAATGCTTTGCTCTCTCTCTCTCGACTCACTTATGCCACCAACCACGGGTCTTCATGTCCCGCCACACCTCTCCTCTGCCCCCCCGCCTCCATACGCGTAGCGCGATGCGGCCTCCATCACCTCAGCTACCTCGCCCTCGACCTCACAGCCATCTTATGCAACAAGG